GAATTGATACCAAATAGCTATATCTGATTAGAATCAATTAGCATCTATCGATGTCTAAATTATTGCCATATTAAGACCAATTTTAGGCTGATTTATAGTTAAATTTAAGTTACGAATGACCATATCCGATTGGAGTTGATTAGCATCTATTAGCACCTATTTATGCTGATCAGAAAATATGGCAAATCGGCTGTAAATAATATTAAAATCAGCCTAAAATTGGCCATCTGATTTTTAGTTAATTTGGACTATTTCGACTAGTGTATGCATCAAATTAAAATATAATTTTTTGTATTTGAAAATAAGTTTTCATTTAGAATAGATGTAGCAGTTATAGGAAGATATTTTCATGCCTATTTAGATAAATCTGAAAATTATTTTTCATTCATTTCACTATTTACCTAGATCAGTATTATATTTAATATATTTTATATTATAGTAATTAATTATTTCATTATTTATTTTGTCACTAATAACTGCATTTAAATTAAAAAGTATATTTTGTGATTGAGATTTTTATGTTATAATTAAATTATCTAATTAATAAAAAATTAAATAGTTAAAATATATGCTATTATTTTAAAAAATAAATTGATTACTTATTTATCATCCGTTATATTATTATCAGAAATATTATTAATATTAAATTTGCATTTAACAAAACTGACAAAATTATTAGAGATGATAATTCAAACTTTTTTGTAATTTATATGAAGTATTTCTTTAATTTTAAGATTTTCTTCTTTTATAATAAATAATAAATGTTTAAATTTCAGATCTAAATATGAAGCATTAAAACTAATTTTAGAAGATATATCTCAATATTTGTCTAAAGCTTGTGAAATTATAAATTTAACCTGATCAATTATTCCTTCTGTAGATATAGGTTAATTAATATTAATTTAATAATATGTAAAAGGATTAACTATCTTATCAATATTATTATCTAATAATTTTCCTCTTTTTCTTTATTATCCAAAATGGTTATATTACAAGATAAATATTTTCAGTATTGTTATTATTCCTGAAAAATAATTCTTTAATTTTGAAATTATAGAATACATTAATCTAAGTATAACATAATTGCTTCCTTATAAAATTGTGATTATTTTTTCTAATATACTAAGTAAATCAACTAAATTTTTCATATAAATCTATTTTTCATTAGAAAGGTTAAATTTTTTTAATTGAAGTTCATCTTTTTTAATATTATTATCCTAATCGCACGTTAAATCAATTGCTAATTGATCAATAGCATTCTTTAAGTAAAGAAAATATTTTCAAGCTAAAAATAAGAAATTCTATTTTGTAGATATATATTGAATTATTCTTACTTTATTTATATAAATCAGATTTTTTTGTGTTGCTAATAAACGTTTAAATTATTCAAGATATTAGAAATCTAATTAAACATTTTGTATGTACAATAAAAATAATAATTAGTTCTAATACTTTATTAACTACTAATTGGAAAGTATATGCTAAATATAGAATTTTACTAATTAAAGGTAAATATAATATTGCTTTTACCATATTTTTTTTATTATCACTAATTATAGTTACAATATTATTTTGAAAATTCTAACTACTAATTAAACTAATTAAAGATTTTTTAATTGCTATAGCATCATAAGAATAAGGTAATTATTTGCATTCAAGTAATATATTATAAATTTGAAAATCATTATTTATAAGAAGTGGTAATACTCATATAACTATGTTTGGATCTTAAGGTTTATAATCTATTATAAATAAAATATCCTTTGCAGATAATCCTTTTCTATTCAATTATAAATTTGATAAATTATCAATTTAATATTTTTTTTATTTGGTATTTGTCAAATCTCAAAAATCCATTATATTTCTATCAAATTAGTTAAATGTTTGCAAATCAAAAGAATATACCTCTTATTTATATAAAAGAAATTCTTATAAAATGTATTTTAGTGCATATTAAATTAGACCTGATAATAATAATTAACCTATTAATCAAAATGAGTATATGATTTTATATATTACTATTAAAAAGTGAAATATAATATTGTGAATAAAAAATTAAAGATAAAAATAAAAGAGATTGCTCTTATTGATTTAAATGACATTCAAGTTAAGTAATCATTTGACTAAAAATTACCATTTAGAAGATCTATAAATATTTTAATTATCCATCTAAAAGTAAGAATTACTTCATATAACTGCTTCATATCTTTTTTTATAATTTATTTAATGCTATACAAAATGGTAAAATTACTCTAAAAATTTGGATTATTAATAATAATAACTATGTTAGGAGAAAGAAATTTTTTGTTAAAGTTGATATGTGTCTTTATTTCTAAAAAGAACTTCAAGATGCAAAAGGTTCTTTAAGAGATTTAGATGTAAATTTCATAACAAGTGTCTAATTAATTAAAAAATAAAATAAAATTTAATTTTAATTAAATAAATAAAATATAAATTAGAAAAGCTATCTTAAATACTACTTCTATTTTCAAAATACTATAAAAATAAAAATAATAACTATTTTTATCATTTTACTAGAAGTAGCTAAAATTATTGTTTTACTATATAATGACTTTTGCTCATTTTTTAATAAACCAGTAAAGTAAGCCAATGAATAAAAATAATTGACAATTTTAATAACCTTTTTTAATATTTGCTGATACATATTTGATGCTTTAAAAATGTTTCCTATTACTAAATTCATTTGATGAACTATGTAAGGTAAAAAATTTTATTAGAATATTAAAAATAAATGTAAATAAATTTTTATAATTTATTTAAACTAAATTAAATAATTGTATTTTTAAAATTATAATACATACTATATATTAGATATTCATCTAATGAATCAGTAATAAAGTAATTAATTTTAATTATTTTCTTTTCAGCTTATATCATTATATTTTTAATATAATTAATTACATTTTCAGTTTTTGATCCATCATCACTAATATCTTTCACTTTTCAATAAGTGATTCATCTGTTAATATTATAAAAATAAATATACTTATTTAATGTTAGTCCATTTGTCACTTGCTACAGTTACTCCAATTTTATCATTTTATGTACTTTTTATATTAGATTGTATTAACATTTTAATTAAATATAGTAAAATTTGATTGATAATTCTTTTTTGATTTGGTAATTTCAAAGCTAGGGCAATAAAAGTAAAACATCTTTTGTTTCTTGATTTTCAAAAAAGTAAAGAGTAATTCATTTAAAACTTGCATTCATAAAGTAAAGTTTCAAAATAAGATTTATCTCTTTTTAATAAAGGCTATAATATATAATTTGTAATATGAGATTGAGTAATAATGAGTTTTGATAGTTGGATAGAAGATTTTTTTCTTTTCTTCTGTCTCACTTTCTGTATCTAAAAATTTTAATTTGTAGTATTAAAAATAATTAGAAATAATAAATTTTTTAATTTTTTTTTATAAAAAAATATATTCAATATTATTACCTGAATTATCAATTATATTTACATTTTTTCTTTATCAAATTTTTGTTTTTTAATTAACTTTTCATTATCTTTTAGAATATTTTGTGCTAAAATTTCTATTCTTTTATATTCTAACACCTGATTTTTAAAACTTGCATATTTTATTAAATGTCCTTGATAGAGTTAGATTTATTTGAAACAAAACAGTCAACTTTAATTGAAGCTACAGATAATGTATAATCCTTTATACAAAAATTACAAACTGCTTGCTTATTGGCTGTTTTCTTTGGTATAGTAATTAATGTAAAATACTCTCTAAACTTATATGGTCCTTTGCTCATATTTGTATAATTGTATTATTAAATTTTGTATTAAAATATTAACAATATTAACGTGACTTTTTAAAACCATTGTAACTACTTAAAATAAATTTTATAACTTATTTTTTATCATAAAAAAAGTAATACTTCTCGTGTTTAAAATTAAGGTTTATTATTAAAAATTATATAAATGATCTTAAATGACATCAAATGATATATTTTAAATGACCAAATGACATAGTCATTTGAAAGTTATTTGAAGGTCATTTCAAAATGGTCAAATGACCTGGTCATTTGCCATCACTGCTATATATTGTAAGTTGTCATTACTTAATTATATTATTAATTGACATTATCAGAAAAGGAAGAAATGGAAAAATGCTAATTTTTGAAGCAAGCAAATAGGTTATGCATAAAACCCTACAAAGTTTAGGAAACAAGCGATTTTTTTTAGCTTAACTTTCACTACAGGTTAAAGTTTTTATGTTGCATAAATTACATAAATATTATAATTTTATAACTTTCATATTCGTTAGACGAGATTTGGATTTGAATTTAAATGAAATATTAGCAACTTAAAAATAAAAAAATTGGTTGAGATTCAGGAAATAGAAGGTAATGTTATAATGAATATTTCGCATAAGACACTGAATCTTGTATGATTAATTAATAAATTTTCACTTAATAAAGATTTATTTATAAAAATAATATTTTATGCATTTATTTAGTAATTTAAAAACATTAACGTTTAATAATATTATATTAAATTATGAAAATTGAAGGTTTATTGTGAATATAATAATTTCTATTCTACCTTATAATTAAATATATGTTTTATAATAATAAAAATGACAATATAAACTATTTTAATTACCGGTTAAAAACTTCTTATTCTAGATAAATAATAAATTATTCAATTAGTAAGATTACTAATTTAATAAGTTAATTAATTTACCTTCAGGAATTTCTAAATCATCTTGATCTTCTGAATGAATATTTGAATTATTATGTTTCTTCGTCATCTGAAGAGTTGAGTTTAAAATATAAAATTATAAGTATGGCAATATATTAATTAAATTATCTATTTTTTACCATTGCATACATTTAACTTTTTGCACATAATGTACCAGCACGAACAACAGATTCGATTAAAATTATGAGAAACATAATTACCAATTTCCATATGAAAAAAGTCGCGAATCATCCTTCTTTTTTTCTTCCTTTTTCACGTATAAGTTCTACAACTTGTACAACATTATATAAACTTTCCCAACTGTAATGAGAAATACAGAAGTAGGCATATCATCTCTTGAATTCTCAATACCCATTTTAATACTCCAAGAATTTCCGGTCCACCATAATCTGAGGTCATTGATTGAGCAAGATCGATAGCCTGAGATAATGATGTTTTGGAATAAAGTTGACTTTTTGAAAAGGAGAAGATACTACATTAAAATAACAATCTTCTGGAAGCAAACGTAATAATAGTTCAAGCGCTTGCGCTTTCTTTTTCATATATTCGACGTTCATTGATTCTGATTATTAAAAAAATTACAGATAATAATAATATTATTATTATTACTACTTAAAAATATATATTTATTAGTTCAATGGTACCTATCAACAACGAAAAATAATTCAGTTATGGTAATATTTAAAGCGAATTTCAGGACCAAAGTTAACATGACACAATTTGGTTCTGTTTCAGAATTATATTCAACGAAAGCTCTTAAAGAAATTTTTTTTTTTTTTTTTTAAAAAAAAAAAAAATGATTTAGAAATATTTTATTTTATAAAAAAAAATCCAACATTATTGCATAAAATATTTTACCGAGGTTGATCAAGATCATTGCTCTTAACCACAAGTATGAAAGTGGACGTATGGATGAAACATAATATATAAAGTATTCGATATAGCGTGCTTGCTACTTTGGATGTTGCTTAGTTGCGAGAAAAAAAAAAACACCTTATTTTATTTGTTGGCGATGGATATTTCAAAAAGTAAACTAGAATTAAAAAAATTAAACAGTTAGAAATTGGCTGTGCAACATGATTCATTACAATCTTTTTTACCTATTATTAACAACGAAGTAAATCCTATCGAACGGATATTTCAAGGCCTTAAGTTAATATGAATGTTGTAAAAAGTGAAACACTTTGAAGAGTAAGAAAAGGTAAGGACGAAACAACTTACACTTATGCAATATGTAATAACCCGCTAGTAATACTTTGGATTTTAATTTCTACATACAACTAAAGATGACGTAGAATCCATTGTACAACTAGGAACCACTATTTACAATCAACATATTTATGAAGAAGTTATTCTTGTTATAAACATATGAAAGAAATGGATGATAGAAGGAAGGTCTTTGATACGGAAGGAAATCTTATTAAAAATTTGATATCTATTAAAAATAAGGTATGGCGATGAATTAAGTAATAATAATTACTAATTTACGGTATCTATTTATTTTATTTTATCATTTATAGGAAGTTTGTAAAGTTTAATTTCCATAGGTGTTATTTTAATGTTTCACTAAAAGGAACTAGCAATTGTAGTTTGAAAGGAAGGTAAGTTATTAATAATAAAACATTCACACTACGAAATTGAGATAAAATTAGCAAATTTAGTTAGTCAAATTGTCAAAATCTATTGAAATTCCCAAACCATCGATTTTTGCCAAATAGGATTAAGGTTTTATCCTGCAACCTTAGTGTCTTTAAAGATCACATTATCATTAAGTATTTGATTTTTGTTAAATAATTTTGCTGAAAGGAAAATATTAATACAAATAAATCCATTAACAGCTTAAATAAATTTAAAAGTGATTCTTTTTGATATACTTTCTTTTAATATTAAACATAGGAGTTGAATGCAAAGCTTATAAAAAGACTGACTGTGAATATATTATAATGCAATGTTTTGTGTGTCATTTTGTTCTCAGCTTTAACTGTGGTCATAATTCTCCGCAGCAAACTTAATCACAAACATTTTTAGCGAATTTAATCTTTAAACAAGACATCGACAAACTGAGTAGGCCAAACACAAGTCGATGAAATTATCTATAATGGGACCCGAATAAAGGAAAAGGTCCTGTAGTAATGGAGGAAAAAATTGAAAAAATCATCATTTTTAGAGGTTTGATAGGACAAAGTTTTTGCATGATTGTCATTAAATGTGCAAATGTGAATTAAATTGTAATACCCTTGCTTTGTTATAAAATATTGGAATATGAACATGTTTTGCATGATTTGTGTAAAATTTAGTATTATGCATAAATTTGTTAGATTTCTAGAAAATTAGATTTCATAAATACACATAAATTTTTATTATCGCTTATTCTTCATAGAGCTAGATCACTTGGTATGACGTTTTATATGTTATTTACGAATGACGTAATGATGATCGTCGATGATTGTTCATTGGCCAACTTTTGTTTTTTTGAAAATAAATAGAGGAGCAACTTCATTTTATCTTTATTCCAACTTTCTTTACTTTTTGGTGGGCATAGTTTTTGCATTTGATTTTTTTAAATATATTATTTACAAGTAAGCCAAAAATTTAAATTTTATTATTTCAAGGAATCTTTAAACGATGACTCGAAGAACTCGACAGGTTCGCGTTCAAGGTGTCACTCGTGCAGTTGTCGCGCCAAGACGACGAAATATTTCTTCAACTTCCCTTTCTACCATCCCCCCTTCAGTTTCCACTACTTTTACCCCTTTAACAGCTGTATCTCCTTCCCTTTCCCCTTCTTCTACAGCTGCTTCTTCTTCTCTTTCTTCTGTTAGTTCTTCTAATTCTTCTCCTTCTTCTTCTCCCTCTTCTTCTTCTTCTTCTTTAAATTTTTATTCTCACTCTCCTACATTCCCCGTTAGTTCCCCTAATTCCCCTATTTCCCCTGCTACAGCTTCAATTTCCTCCACTGGCCCAAATTTTTCTCCCTCCCCATTTCCTTCCCCTATTCTCGCAACTTCTTCTGTTCCCCCTACTAACCTTCCTGTTCTTTCTCTTTCTAATACAACATCATATCGTTCTCCCTCTTCCCTTCCTTCCCCATCTTCTTTAAGTTCATCCCCTAATTCATCCCCTTCTGCTTCTTCTGTTTCTTCTTCTTCTACTAACTCTTCTACTCCTTCCTTTACCCTTCCCGTTTTTAGCCGTCCCTTTTTTCATTATCGTCTTCTAAGGTGGCCAGAGCCGATGGATCTTGATCCACCAGGAATTTTTATCGAAACGCCTTTTATCCCCCCTAATCAGTGGCCTGAACCAATGGATCTTGATCCTCCTGGTATCTACGTAGCCATTGATTATGG